AAGACAAGTCAAACCTTAAAGTTCCTCATTGTTGATAATGTCTCTATTACTGGCTTGTTAAGGAGTTCGATGCTATTCTGAATGAAAGGAAACAAACCGTTCTCATATCGTTCGGTTCAGTAGCTAAAAGTAAGGATATGCCTGAAGATCATAAGTGAGGAAACGAAGAGGAAACGAAAAATCAAAATCTGTTTCCAGGAGAATCCTTCTGTCAGTCTTTGAAGAAATGAAAAATGTCACTTTCATCTGGAAATATGAAGAGGATACAACAATCGCAGACAATTTGCCCAATGTTCATCTGGCCAAGTGGATGCCTCAGATTGCTCTTCTGCACGATCCTCGTTTGAGTCTTTTCGTGACTCATGGCGGTCTTGGAAGTACAACTGAAGTCGCTTATCTCGGAAAACCAGCAGTGTTTGTAAGTTCAACCGTTCAACACTTTCTATTCAATATCAAATGAACTCTCTCTCGTGCTCCACGGCATTTTCACGTTAACCACTGTTACGACACGTGGAACCTAACGGTATGATGACGATGCGAGAATGGAAACGGAAACAAATCGAACAGAACTGAGAATAATGTGAATGAAATTACAGATTCCTTTATTTGGAGATCAACCAGCGAACGCTCTAATGGCGGCACGATATGGAGGAGCAATAGTTCTTGAGAAAACATCACTGAATAACAAAGAAAAAATCAAAGAAGCCTTCAATGAAGTTTTATCAAACAGCAAGTTGGAGAGTTCAGATTTCCTGTCAGTTATTCATGATTTTCAGATATGAAGAGAATGCGAAGAAGCTCTCAGTAATTCTCAACAATAGCCCTTCTAAACCAAAGGATATACTTGTTAGGCATATCGAGTTTGCTGGAAGGTATGCTATTCATTCAGTATTTTAGTTTATGACAGCGATTCCATTTGAAGAGTTGGACGAATACCTAATTTGGATTGTGAAGGAAGACACTTGAACCTATTTCAGTACTTGTCATTGGATATCTATCTAACTGTCATAGTCATAATACTTTTAGTGATCTTCTTGATATATATTGTAATAACTAAGATAGTCAAATATTGTTCGAATAAACTGAAAGTCAAATCAGAATAAATTATATTTTGGATTTGTAACTTCAGTTTTCCAAGCATCAATGAGCCTAAGCTAAACAATATAGCGATTCCAATGAATGTCGCACGAAATTCGTAATTCCTTCAAAGCTCCCTCCTGTGAAAACAGCTTCGGTATGGTATGAGGGTAAAACCTTCCTGT